CCTCTGACTTAAAGCCAGACCATAAATCCAGAGACTTCAGAGACGCTGGCTGAATAATGCGGCCATTAGACGATAAGGAGGGACTCAGCAGGGGGGGCGGAGTCTACATGGAGGGGGAGGGGCTTAATCTCAGCTAAAACTCACCTGGAATTACCTGTGAACATACCTGAAACATCTGCAGATTATTAAAAGCAGTAAAATATCTCAAATCTCTGTACAATGACAGTAAAGGAAATCAATTACATTACACTTCTGTGAAGATTTCTTGCATTTTCTTTCATAACTGATGTCTTTCTGCAAATTACTCCTAATATATAAAAGTACATTTCCTCATAAAACTACACATTATACCGTTTAGTAATACTTCTACTTAAGTTAAGTATCTAAATGCTTTCCCCACACCTGCTTGTCTTTGTGTTTTGCTGTGAATTGTCGAAGACTCATTCATTAAAGTAGAATCTCTTCCACACACACGTTCTGCTCATCACCAAACACAGAGAACATTTCCCTGCTGCCGAGTTAATAAAGCTGCTGGAGGAAGAAATAAAGCTCAAACACTGAAGACACAACGAAGAAAATTACCCTCTGCTCTGAATTAGAGAGGAGGTTTCTCCATCTAATAGGAATCAGGAGAATCGCTCCTCGATTTAAATCCATCTGTTGTTGTTTGTGCATTTCTTTTGAGGATTTGCATTAGTTTCATGCTGACTGGAGAGTTTCCTCTGCTTGCTTCATCCCTGTAAAAAATCACAGTAACAGAGTTTTAAATGCAGCGCACATGGATCTGATTTCCATGAAATTAACCCAAACCCCCTCTGAAGGTTTTTAATGGGGCGTACAGTTTATTCTTCGTGAAAGAATGACGAAATCTCTGTTCATACAAAATAAAAAGCCACCTCAGTGTTTGTCATTTTGATCATTTAAGGGTGTTAACTTTGTTACTGTTAAGAGTGCATGTGCTTAAGTGAGTAACTTGAAGATCAAAACACAGTTCCCTTTCACACAAAAAATATAAAAACTCAGATAAAACAACATTTCATAAATCACAAAACCTTATGCATTTTGTTTTTTTTCCTTTCTTGTAGTTAGTTTAGTTAAATCGGTTTGTGTCCATGTAAATGGTCTGCAAAGGCTAAAATACCAAAGTTGGTTGACCAATCACAACAGAGCCAGCCAGCTAACCAATCAGAGCAGACTGGGTTCTGGTTTCAGACAGAGGGTGAAAAGAGGAAAAAATATGAGAAAAATAAAGAGCTTTTTGAACAATAATGTATGGAAAACTTGTCACAGAGTAGAGGCACTAAATACTCATATGAACGCGAAAATAAACATTATATGTCCTCTTTAAAAAAAACAGAAACAGAATGAATAGAACAGTGAAATAAAAGATGAATGACATAATGTTTTGCGATACTTCAAACTCGAGGCGTGAGCAGTAGGTACCGGAGAAAATTGGAGTGGGAGTTTCAAAACCTGCTCTGCACTCAATCAAAAACCCTCTCGATCGCTCCACTCTCATCCTCTGACTGGGTCACAGTTTTGTGTCAGGTGTTCATTTCAGACCCAGTCAAACAGACAGATTTAATTTCCTGTTCCAGACACCAGACGAGTCCTGACAGCGTTTGTGTTGAGCCCTCTGCTCAGACTTGTCTCCGATAGCTGACTGACGGCCCTGTGGAAAGCTAATCGATGGCGGGAAAACATCAGCAATAATCACCGTCGCCAGAAGCTCAGAGAGCGCGACCTGACGGAGACAGTTCCACGTCAGAGTGGTGGAGTGTCTCTGACAGGTGAGAGCTGTGGGAGTTTTGATAAGAGTCTCAAAGCAACTGGTATGATCAATCGGCTGGATGGATTCACTCAGAGAGGAGAGACAACTGCGTCAAAATCAAACGTCTCCATCAAATAACAACTGTTTCATCTCCAAACATCCAACAGGAGGACAAAATGATACTGCATGTAAAACTTTTCAGGTGATGGGTGAAATGAAAAGAGTGTATGTAATATGTTTCCTGATCGCTCCTGCTTTAATGTTCCTTATACTAAATAGATATTCAATACAATATATTAAACATTACAAGTGGAGGAAGTATTCCTTACCTTGGAAAAGTAACAAATACCACACTGCAAAATGTTCGTTAATTAAAAGGCTCTATTATCAGGGCACCTGCGCACATAACTGGTGCGCAGGTGCGCATGCACATCCCCCGCCAAAAAAGGAGCACCGGATCATTTGAAAAAAAGCTCATTTGCGGACCAACATTGAGAGAGAGAGAGAGAGAGAGAGAGAGAGAGGGGCGAGAGAGAGAAAAGAGAGATGAGAGAAGAGAGAGAGAGAGAGAGAGAGAGAGAGAGAGAGAGAGAGAGAGAGAGAGAGAGAGAGAGAGAGAGAGAGAGCTAACTAGAGAGAGAGAGAGAGAGAGAGAGAGAGAGAGAGAGAGAGAGAGAGCGGATTTCCGCACAGTAACCCTGCTGCGAGGCACGGGCGAACAGTTCATGATCGTGCTCACTAGCGCACCTCACCCCTCCCCCCCCCCCCCCCCCCCCCCCCCCGTTCACAAAGTCAAGTACCCCTCAAAAGGTCCGGTTTATTTGATTTTAAAGGATGCGCACCAAGCAACATCTCCAGGTGCTCCTTTGAGAACCAGGGCAAAAAAGTTATATGCACACCTGTCTATTATGCTATTTGTTGTAGTCCTTCCTGTAGTGTGTTATAGGTTTGTGTACATGTAAATGGTCTGCAAAGAGTTTCCCTCCCACACACTATCTATTGGCTAGCGCTCCAACAAATGATAGGCTAAGTGGCAGGACATCTCTAAGCGGTTGACCAATCACAACAGAGCTGACCAGCTAACCAATCAGAGCAGACTGGGCTCTGGTTTCAGACAGAGGGTGAAAAGAGGTGCTGCAGCACAGAAAGTATGAGAAAAATAAAGAGCTTTTTGAACATTAAAGCATGGGTAAACATACCAAAGTAAGCTTGTTTTAATAACTCATGGATGTACATTTAGATTGTAGGGACCCGGTACTAGAGGTGAAATACTGCCCCCTATGTCGTTGAAGCAGGTGGTACAGAACTACTCATTGCACCTTAAAATAATTATATATATATATAATTATTTGTCGTACCCTGGGATTAACTAAGTTCTTATTTGTTTGTGTGCACTCAATTCAATCTAAAATACTGCCTGAATTCAATTTTATTTTTTTATTTGATTACCAAGTCTTTATTTTGTTTTTTTATACAAAGCTGTCCTCACTTGTAACAACTTGTACTTGGTCCTCACAAAGCACGAATACATGAATTCACACACGCACACACACCATCCTCTCCACATGCTTGCAGTTTCAACACTTGTATTCACAGCAGGTTGATTGACAGGTGAGAAGGATCGCAGGTGACCTCTCATTGTGTGAGAGACATCAGAGCGCTTAGAAGTCAGAGTGCAAGTAAACACACCATGAAGGGGAGAAGAGAGCGAGACAGAGAGGAGTGACCCTGAAGGCATCATCGCTCAGCAGGAAACAAACAACTGATTAACAAAATGCTCTAGCAATAATTCATTAATTCATATTAAATGTATTTTCCTTTATGTAGAATTTTCAACTACCTTATGACTTTTGATTATTAAGAGTTATCATTTGTAATACGTTTTCTTAAACAATTCCTTTATGCTGTGATAATAATAATAATAACTATTACAATGTATTAGTCATAATAATAATACATAACACACACCGCATCGGTCTCTTGCAGCCAGTAGATTGTAACCGGTGTGACGTCAGTTAGTGATGAGAGAGAGAAAGAGAGAGATAGTGTGTGTGTGTGTGTGTGTGTGTGTGTGAGAGAGAGAGAGAGAGAGAGAGAGAGAGAGACAGAGGAAGAGAGAGTGGAGGCTGCAGATCGCGGTAAGATCTTCAGAACCGGAGGCAGCAGCTGCACCTCCTCCTCCTCTTCCTCTTCCTCCTCTTCCTCATCAACTCTCCTCCAGCGGGCAGCCGGGCACCGAGCAGCCGGTCTGCGGGGCATCAATCCCGGCTGGAACTAGTGCAACATGCCCGCTGATCGTCAGCTACACTCGGTGTCGTTTCTTCCACTTGTGGTGGGACTTACGCGGACTGAGACTCCCGGTGGATCTCTATGTATGTGAAGCAGCTGCCTGATCATTTCTTCTTATTCTTCTATTTAAATCTGTCCACCCTGCTGATGTCAAGTCGGATGGTTCCTCTAAAGATTATCTGGATCTGCACCATGTCTCTAACCAAGGACGGACTTTTACTGCTTTAAGAAAAAGAACATGTGCAACAAAACAGACTTCATCCATAATGACTGTTTTTCATTAAAAGCAGCATTGCCGTGTTGTTGCATGTTTAACTTCATTTATAAAGTCTCGCATTGATGATAAGTAATCACGGTGTCGTTTCTCTTCACTTCTGGGGGGATTTTGGAGACTCTTGAGGACTGGGAAACTCCACATCCGGAGCAGATTTTGTGTTTTTGAAGAACATGCTGAGGTGGAGGGGAAACACAAACCTCTGCTGCGTTTACCCTCCTGTGTTCTGTGTCTACTTTCATCAGTCCTGAATATTTGGATGCTTCAAGGCCCTCCACAATTTGCATTTGAACATATACAATGGCTGATCACCACTTCCATTGAATTCTGAGTGGGTTAGTCAACTTTGTAACACCTATGATGTTCCCGGTCAAAAATGAACACCATTAGGAAATGAATACGTAACCCTGGATGATGTTCTTCCATCAGATGGTACACACCCACAACATGTTAATTTTACATTTCCAGTGTCTATCCTTTGTATATTCACTGCAGTTATTCCTGTAAACCAGTAGTCTGAGACATTGTTTACAGCTTATTAAATAACATTTGGTGATGATTACTGGTTTTTGTGTTAATGTAAGAGCAGTTAAAACAGACCGGTGACATTTGACCGAGAACACCAAAGAAAAGGGGTGAAACGTATACGACAGGACGGTTAAAAAGCCTCCCCCGCTGTGGATTTGTAACATCTGGAACCTGGAGATGCCACCTGTCTCTGGGATGGATGAGTTGCAGTGAGGAGGCTCCAGGATATTCACAGTTTGGACTTTTTGGACAGAGTTTCTCCCTCATGCAGCTCCTCCGGCTGGCCTGGGCTCTGACTGCCGCCGCGGCCTGCTTCCTGATCCTCCTGATCCTCCACAACCACATCCTCAGAGAAGGTACGCCTGTGTGTGTGTGTGTGTGTGTGTGTGTGTGTGTGTGTGTGTGTGTGTGTGTGTGTGTGTGTGTGTGTGTGTGTGTGATTACATGTACAACAGAGAAAAAGCAGTGTAATATACAGAGGCTCAAAGTAGAGAGTAGAAACCCTAAAACGGTTGATGATTAATCCATTTATCATCTAAACCAGGCATGGGCAAACTAAGGCCCGTGGCCCATATACGACCCGTTGGGCTTTTTAATCCGGCCCGCCGAATATTGGTACAAATTGTCCAAATTATAGTAAAGACCGCATTCATTTAGCCTTTTTCCTGCAATACCCGACACAAATTACCTTAGCTGGAGTCGGCAACCCACCAAATACGTCACGCTTACATTGGAGGGGGTCAAGATTAACCTGAGCAATAACAGTTCACGGTTAGTAATACAGCGAATACAACTTGTAACAAGCAGTAGCGTTGAGAAAAGGGACTAGAACGCGACCACACACTTATAAAAAACACTTATATAAAGTCAGGCAACACTAACCAGCTTAGTGTGATTCTGTTTATTTTGTGTAGAAAACGGTTTATGCCACAATATGATAGCAACAAGTAGTCGAGATAGTCTGATTAGCTTCGGTTGCTATGCTAACATCACCTGTAGAATGCCAGAGAAACTTTCATAACAGCGTTGTGATGCCAAACAGCGTCAATTCAGACTGAAACACATTCACTTATGGGGATGGGGGATATTTATCAGCTGCTTGTGTGACAGTCGGAGAGTGAATACTTTACAGCGGCCGCTGCCGTGAGTTAACAGTAGAATAAACGAGCAGCGCTGCAGCGGGCGGTAATCCCGCTGAACCACATTAATAAACAATGCACCACGGCACTCTGGAGAAAGGTACAAGGTTGGAGAAGTAGTTATTTAATTTAATCTGGCTTCGTATGATTAAAAACGACCCGACGCAGTCCTCTATTGATGTTGTTGTGAGCGGTGTCGCGGAGAAAATCAGCGACGTAAAACTCTGTGTGGGTCATAAGAAGGCACGTAAACGGTTACGTCATGACGCAAACGATGACGCAATGACGCAATAACTCACCTTTGAACCTAATTCACCTTTGAACCTGCATCTGTAACAATGAGTGGACCAAAGAAAAGAAAAGTCAACATTGAGTGCCGAGTGTATAATGAGGAGTGGACAGCTAAATATTTTTTCACCGATCTGCTACTGGCCCGGCCCGTCTGTTACATTTTAAAACTCATAGTGGCCCCCGAGCCAAAAGGTTTGCCCACCCCTGATCTAAACTGCATACCTGTGAACGAATGAATACATGCTGTAGGAGCCAACATGCTAAGTTAACCTGTCGTTATTGCTTCCTTATTCTCATCATTTGTTAACACCACACATTGGTAATTGGTCATTTCTGGTAATTGTCACATGGGTGTGGTTAATGGTATTTAGGTAGTATGACAATGGGCGTGAGCTTAGCTGTGGGATCTTTTGTTGACTCTACGGTTCTGCTTGGTTATTGTCTATTTATCTGTTTTATTTAATATCCTTAACTTCAGTACGGAGTTTATTATAAAGACACGTCACAGAGATGAGCAAAGTTTAACCTCTGATGTGATGATGATGTGGGCCGCCCCCGTCGACAATTTACTAGCGGTATTTACTTGCGGTACCGAGGTGGGCCGGCGGTACCGAAGTGGGCCGGTCGAGAGTCCCGGGCTGATTTTTAGTCCCAGTCCGCCCCTGATACCTATATATATATATATCACATGTTATACTGCCGCTCTCCATCCCCCTGAAACCCCCCCTCTACACCTGCACACCTGCTAACTCTCTCCCTGTCGACTCACTCCCTCTCAGCAGACTGTCGGCCATCTGTTCAGCCGGTTTGACTTTTAGCTTCTCGCCCACCAGACTGTTTACCCTCCGCCTGACCCTGTTTATTTTGCCCGCATGGTGGAGGACATATTCAGATGTTTTACTGAATTAAAATGACTAATACACCACTTTGGAATAAACCAATCTAAGTTAAAATGAGTTTTATCAACTAAATGTACTTTTCTATTATATACTGTATGATTTTTCTTGATTTATATACAATAAATTGATGTTGTATGTTATGGCATGGACGTTTTAACTAATAAAAATAATAATAATAATAATAATACATGATACTTGTATAGCGCTTTTCTAGAAACTCAAAGAGCTTTGACAGAGAATTAAAAAAAACAACAACAAAAAACAAAGAAAAATACAAAAAAGAGATAAACAAAACAGATAATAGGGGGGGGGTGGTCAGTGGTTGAATGCAGTGTTGAACAGGTGGGTTTTGAGCAGAGTTGGGTGTAATAATATTACTTTTGTCGGTAACGGAGTAGTGTAACGCGTTACTTTTATAATTCAGTAATCACACTACAGTTACTAACATTGCCCCGACACGCGTTACTTCGTTACTTTTATAAAATCAGTCATAATCACACTGACAGACAAGAGGGGTTTCCGCCGCAGGTTTATATGTACGTAATCTGCGCGACTTGCACGTCCATATCTCCACATGCAGTGCTGCATAAACATGGCAGAGTCAGCGATAACTTTCGAGGGGTTGAGGTATGCCCATTATTTTGAGTTCGTCCGAAGAATAGACAGGAATGTGACGGTGAGGTGCAAACTGTGTCCAGGCCAGAAGCTGTTATACACTGCTGCAAACACCACGTCAAACCTCAACAAACACCTGCAAAGAACACATGCTAAGGTGAAGCTAATAGCTAAGGACCGGACCCCGAACCCAGAGTGAGGATGTTGTGCGCCGCCGCCGACTCTGAAGCGGCACAAATTAGAATTTGGAGGACCGGTAACCATGCAGAGATGGACAGGCTTGTAGCATCCTTCATAGTAGAGGTAATGTTGCCCATTTGCACAGTGGAATCACCATCGCATCGTTCAGAGATATACTGCGCAAAATACAGATAGCAGGAGACAGAGGACAGCCATAGTCAGAGCTATCTGGATCAGTCTTATGCGACAATGGAAACTGAACTAAAGAGAACATTTGAAACTTTAGCAGTCTGCGTGATCTGCCTGTAGGGAGGGGCGGGCCGCCCCTGCGAGTAAAGTAACGAGTAAAGTAACGAGTAAAGTAACGAGTTACTTTATGTAGAGAGTAACGAAGTAGTGTAATATATTACTTTTTTTAAAAGTAATATGTAATATGTAATATATTACTTTTTTTTAGTAACGACCCCATCTCTGGTTTTGAGTGATGTTTTGAATGCAGTGAGGGAGGAAGAATCTCTGATGGATTGGGGTAGTGAGTTCCAGAGGGTGGGTGCAGCAACGGAGAAGGCTCTGCCTTATACTACAGCAATGCATCTTATTCTTTAAGATCATCATATGTCTGTTTTTTCTACATTTTTGGCTATAAAATCATTGTTCTTTCTACGAACAGTTTTCTCATCCATTTTTTCAAAAAGCTATCTGAACATTTTTGGACCAGTTTTCAGACCTTCTACATTTACTGTTCGAGAGTTTTCACACATTTCTCAAGTCTTGTTTAAACTTGTGCTTCTATTGGCTAGCGCTCCAACACATTGTACGTGATAGGCTAAGGGGCGGGACATCTCTAAACGGTTGCCCAATCACAACAAAGCCGGCCAGCTAACCAATCAGAGCAGACTGGGCTCTGGTTTCAGACAGAGGGTGAAAAGAGGTGCTGCAGCACAGGCAGTATGAGAAAAATAAAGAGCTTTTTGAACATTAAAGCATGGAGACATGTCCCAGTAGAGACACTACATACTGATATACACCTGAACATCAGCAGGAGAGGACTCTTTAAAGTAGAGACACTACATACTGATATACACCTGAACATCAGCAGGAGAGGACTCTTTAAAGTAGAGACACTACATACTGATATACACCTGAACATCAGCAGGAGAGGACTCATTAAAGTAGAGACACTACATACTGATATACACCTGAACATCAGCAGGAGAGGACTCTTTAAAGTAGAGACACTACATACTGATATACACCTGAACATCAGCAGGAGAGGACTCTTTAAAGTAGAGACACTACATACTGATATACACCTGAACATCAGCAGGAGAGGACTCTTTAAAGTAGAGACACTACCTACTGATATACACCTGAACATCAGCAGGAGAGGACTCTTTAAAGTAGAGACACTACATACTGATATACACCTGAACATCAGCAGGAGAGGACTCTTTAAAGTAGAGACACTACATACTGATATACACCTGAACATCAGCAGGAGAGGACTCTTTAAAGTAGAGACACTACATACTGATATACACCTGAACATCAGCAGGAGAGGACTCTTTAAAGTAGAGACACTACATACTGATATACACCTGAACATCAGCAGGAGAGGACTCTTTAAAGTAGAGACACTACATACTGATATACACCTGAACATCAGCAGGAGAGGACTCTTTAAAGTAGAGACACTAGATACTGATATACACCTGAACATCAGCAGGAGAGGACTCTTTAAAGTAGAGAAACTACATACTGATATACACCTGAATATCAGCAGGAGAGGACTCTTTAAAGTAGAGACACTACATACTGATATACACCTGAACATCAGCAGGAGAGGACTCTTTAAAGTAGAGACACTACATACTGATATACACCTGAACATCAGTAGGAGAGGACTCTTTAAAGTAGAGACACTACATACTGATATACACCTGAACATCAGCAGGAGAGGACTCTTTAAAGTAGAGACACTACATACTGATATACACCTGAACATCAGTAGGAGAGGACTCTTTAAAGTAGAGACACTACATACTGATATACACCTGAACATCAGCAGGAGAGGACTCTTTAAAGTAGAGACACTACATACTGATATACACCTGAACATCAGCAGCAGAGGACTCTTTAAAGTAGAGACAATAAACACTAATATGAACCTAAAAATGAACAGAACATGTCCTCTTTAGAGCAGATTTATTTTTCAACAAAAAAATAAGCAGA